CAGGTGCTGGACTCACGGCAGCACGAGCTCGAACTTGCCGAGTCAAAACTTGAAGAGCTCAGAGCCCAGCTATCAGAAGCGCAGGATCAAGTAACGCAGGCAAAGGGGCGTTCCAAATCGAAGGAAAAGCAGCTTTCAGAAGCAAAGGACCAGATATTCCGTCTCCAACCGCAGCGCAAGGACGTCAACGAGGCTGATGCAATCGAGGCATACAGAGCCTTATGCGCCAACGTTCACCGATGGGTTGAAAACCGTATGAAGGGCATACTGGACGAGCTGGATGATGGCCGGTTACGGGCCCGCCCAGCCCCCCCTCAAGCCGTTCGTTTTGTTTCTCTGATGAGGGAGACTGCGAAACGTGGCTTGGCATTGGATCAGTCGGATGTGTATCACATCGTTGCAATCATTATGAATTATCTCTGTCTGGTTTTCTTCTCCAAGTCATTCTACTGCCCACTGGATGACTACGAAGGGGATGCCACTCTCACCTTTATTGACGAGCTTGAAGCGTCCATGTCACGTCTTCCTCGAGGTAATGAGAACTTCCCCTTCAGTGGTATATATCATTCTAGTTATTGACAGCTCGTATTCTAGATCCAGGACATTGTCGAGAATGGAGGAGCGAAACATTGACAGCTATGACAAGCCAGAAAACCTTCAAAACTAGAAGGGTTCGGTTTATTGTGCTAGTAACAGAAGATCTAGCCACACTCCTATCCGCCATCGCCCCGAAAGTACCCACCGCGGAACTCCAAAGCTCAATACGCAGATCTATTATCGAACCAGCCGCGGACCTTGCTCATGATCTTCACATCGCCTCCAGCATCTATTCGCTAAAGTGGCCCGCCCGAGGAGCGTGGTCGAGGTTAGAGGTCTACGAATGTCTTGACCTGGCGAATGGAGGCGAGACGCTTAATCTAAGCGGCACGACGCCTTCATCTTCGGTACGACGTAATGTCGCGTACTTATTCGATGTTTCCCCGGGGCTGTTTGTGGAGAGGGTAGTGTCGGGGAAGAAATCCCCCCTCAAAGCAATATGCCGGCCCAGTGTTCTGGTGTTTAGTGCAGGCGGGAGTGTGCAGCAGAGTCCAACCGTCATGAATTGGTTGTGGGAGTCAGCTGCCTCACTCCCTGGTCCTAGTCGGGATGGCTCTAGATCTGCGACGCCAGTGCCACCCAGAAGTACGTTCCCCCCCCCCTTTCCCCCTTTCTGGTTCACCGTGTTGATCTAACTTAGCACCACAGAATCTACTGGAAGTAATCACCCGTCTAGGAGGCGATGAGGCCGGACTCTTTCGCGCTCTAGTTGAGGGGGGCGTGGTAGTCGCCATCCGTTCGTTATCAGGGCCAAGTGAGCCAATATGGGAAACAATTTGTTCACTGCTCACCAAGTAGCTAATGTAATTTTCGCCAAAGAATACTAGGTATTGTAAACATACAAACAATCAAACAAATCAAACAAACCAAACAATCTCTATATCGCTTCTCAAATCGACCGGCAAGAAAAATGATACTCTTCAACGACAATGATCGGGGCATCGCGATACCGCGGGATGGGTCGTGGCGGAAGTGGTGGAACGGGTCGAGGAGGTAACGGAGGCGGATTCTGCTGAGGCGGATTTTGCTGTGAGGACGCACCAGGTCTCCTAGGGACGGTCTGGCTCCGGGGTCTGCTCGTCGTTGTTTGTTGGGGGGGAGTCTGATTGTCAGGTCTTTTGGGTGCTCGTCCTGGGCGGGCCGGAGATTTCTCACCAGTCCTAGGGGAAGCATTTCGCTTCAAGCCGCGAGCTGGCTGCTTTGCTTTCTCTGCGTTTGCGGCTCCGAGGGTCCTCTGAGGCCTTGCGGGCGCCGGGACAAAGGGCCGGATGCAGTTGCTAATATAGTCATCCTCCATCCCGAGGGCTTTGGCATCGGCAAGTCCGAAGTTGATGCGGTTGATATACTCCTCCTTGGGCGGGCTATCGGTGGTGAAGTTTGTACTGATGTAGACGAGGACCTCCTGGACCCAGTGCTGGGGCTGTTCTGGCTGCTTCGGTGCGGCCTCCTTCGCCTGGCGAAGTATCTTGGCTGGGCCTCCTCTATCAACTATCCATGATGTTGGACGACGGTAGAGGTTACCAGGCGCCCTGAACAGTTGGGCTCTCATGGTCTTTTTGGCATATGCGTTCTTGGACACGCCCTCATTGATGTCTAGCTTGGCCTCATCGGCAGCATCAATCTCATAAACCAGACCGTCCACCCAAAATCCGTCCGTCTTGACAACGTTGGCATAGCCGCGCTCGTTGATCTGCCAGCGGTAGTTGACCAGCCGGGCTCTTCCAATGTACCTGCTCTGAGGGCATCTCCGCTTCATCTGCTTGAGGTGCAAATTGCTGCCATAGGCGAAATAGAAGGTGGTTGGCTGCTTGGGAGCCGGCTGCTTGCCGTTCCCGCCGGAGGGAGATGCCATTGGCGGAGGAATAGGGGGTTGCTGTAGGGTAAGCCTCTAGGGCCAGGGGCAGGGGCGATCTTGATTGATCAGTGTGCTCCGGAAAGCAAGTAAGCCCGAATGCCCGGTGATGGAGGGTGGAGGGTCGATGCAGCTACTAGGTCAATCGAGTCTTGCTAATTCTGTTTGCCCAGGTTTGAAAAGAAGAGGATAGTGCAGCCAGAAGAGTTCTGGGAGTGAGAATGCAATGCGAGGAAGTCGGGGGCTGCGTCTAAGTGCCCGGGTGGAGCCGGTCCCCTGCATATGGCTGCGTCCAGCCTCCAGGCTTCCCAGAACCATTGGGCAGCAAACCGCCTCATCACACGGGGGCCGGCGCCAATGGTCTTGCACCACGTTCAGCATGCTGGCGCTGGCCGGGAGATCTGATTGATCACAAGGAGCGGTGGACATCTGCAGCGCTGTGAAACCGAGAACCCCGGACGGGATAGGCCACGACGGGCCGCTCGCTTGCCAACGCAACTAGTTGGGCTCCGCCTGGTCATGGTGGTTGGGACACGATTCCCCTCTTCACGCATCCTCTACCGCCTTTAGCCTGGGGCTGTGGACGAGTTCGTTGTCTGGGTTGGAAATGGCTGGGCCAAGCAATAACAACAAGTCAGGGCGACAGGGCAGGGTGGGTTAGGTTATTAGGCTCACGGACCTCAGTGGCCGCCTCACATTTCCTTTGGAAGAGGATTTACTAAGACCTGAGACGAGCCTGGGAGAATTTCGAAAGCGTGATTACCAGATCATGTGCTCTGGCTGTTCCGCTTGACAACAGACGTGTACGCAATCTGGGAGATGACAGGCAGGAAGCCCTGATCGTCCGTGACAAATATCGCAACAGCCAACACAGTCAAGGGGTCATTACTCGATCCAAGTCATCCCTAGTCGGTTTTGGGCAGAGAGAGAGAACAATCTCCTGCGCCATCTTCCGTCCAGACCGGCATATATATCCTTCCTTCTTGTTTCTTGAGCTTTGTTGCTTTTGTCACACATGAGCATCATCAAGATCGACTGAATCATCAACAGCAACCATGGTTAGACACTACAATTTCGGTGTCGAGATTGAGGCTGTGGCCAAGCCATATGGCGGAGGCGAGTCATTCACAAATGTTGACTGGTACCGACAATTGGCCCAGAAGCTGCGGAACCGGGGCATTGAGGCTGTCCATGACGACAATTCCAAGTACAGCAAGCACCCAGAGTACTATGGTGGCAAATGGTTCGTGACCCGAGATGGGTCATTGAAGCGTCCTCGACCTTTTGGTTTGTCCAACACCACCATACTTGCCTCCCCCCCCCCATTTGCATAAGCTAACTCTGAGTTGTCAAACAGTCTGCATGGAGGTCGTCTCTCCCAAGCTCAACACGACCATGCACATCACTAGCACGCTCTCTGACTTCTGGGAGGCCATGCGAGTGCACTTCAATCCGCAGCGCGACATCTCTTGTGGTGGCCATGTACATGTCACCCCTATGAGTCTGAACAGCAAATTCTCTATGCGCTCCCTCAGGAAAATTGCGTTTGCAACCGTAGTCTACGAAGACTTTGTTGCGACCATGTTGCCCAAGGCGCGAAGAGAAAACAAGTACTGCCAGGCCAATAGCCAAAGCATTGACTCGGGCCTTCATGAGACCCTCCTCTGGGGCAAGAACCCGAACACTCTACATCGCGTGGCTGCCGAGATCAAAGCGTGCCCCAACGAGACAGCAATCTACATGTACATGCAGGGAAATCGATATGTTCTCTGGAACTTTCAGAACATCTTCCCGCATCCCAAGACGGGCCGTTGCACTGGAACTGTTGAGTTCCGAGGAGGAAACCAGTTTCTCAACACCAAGGGAACCCTAGCTTGGGTTGCTTTTGTCCTTGGATTCATCACGCTGGCTGTTCAAGAGGTAGGTTTTCCTCCAACTTCATCTTACCATAAAAATCCACTTCGTATACTAACCGTGTATGTTTTAACAGGATCTTCTCCATACATTCACCTCTTCCATGTATGTTCCCACCACCGATCCCGCTTACGAGAAAGCCATCACGGAATGGTGGCGACGCCTTCGGAGGGCTGCGCGAAAATCAAGACTCAGCCGACATCTCCCCAACGAGTACACCGCGATGGCCACCAAATAGACTGTTGGCCTTGAATCTGTCTTGAAGTCCCAGCCATCCATTATCCTCAGATTGCACATTCATTTTCTGGCCTAGGATCTCTGTTTTCATCCACCTTTCATATTCTCGCATTTTATTTTTTAGTTGGTTCTCATTTATTTGGCATCACTGGAAGCATTGGATAGGAGTTATATCAAATCATAGCCCGTATAGAGCCTCGACTGGACTCGGGGACAACAGATCGCTGCCGCGCGATTGGGAGCGAAAGGAACAGGGGGCTCACTGCCCACAAAGAACAGACAAGCTGTTAACATTCAACATTTGTATTTTTGATTATTATTTGTCTTTAGATTGGTATTCGTTTGGTCATTGCATCAGTACAGGTCTCATCTTCAATACTGAATTACAGTTTTCGTCTAATCATTCCGAAGCGCTCTCTTCCTCCTCAAATGCGACCAGCACTGTCCCAGCTTTGCAGATGTCCTAAAATATTTGTCAGAATCATGGTACCTAGCCAAATGGGACTTGAAAAGGAGACTTACACCTTCTTTGTGTGCCAGTTTCTTGATCACTCCGTCTTGCGGAGATCGAATGACTGTCTCCATCTTCATTGATTCAATTCTGCATCATTCATCTGTCAGCGCTGGCCTATCATAATGTCATCAAAGAAACGGCAAACTTACACAACTAATGGCGCTCCCTTCTTCACCGTCTCGCCCTCCTTCACTTCATTTCTCAGGACCTTGCAAGGCATTGGCGCGACAACCGAGGCAGTGACCTCCTTTAGACCCAACTCCTTCTCGTACCATGTCGGTGGTAGCAGGGAAAGGTCGGTCTTGACGCCATGCTGGAAGATGGTTATCTTGGTGTCATTGTCGACTGACTGTGGCACAACTGATGAAGAGATGCGCTCGCCGGGGAAGAAAGACTCCAGCTTGACGACTTCGCCTTCGGAGACTTGCTCAGAAGCGATATTAGAAAAGACCTGAGGAGCCTCTTCACCTTTGCGAGAGACACTGATGTTGTAGAGATGACGTCCGACTTGAGCCACGCTGGCCTCCACAATCTCTCCTTCTTTATCGCTGTATCCATCCAACACCTTGAACGCAACTTTACGTTCGCTTGTTGAAGCCTGGTTACCAAATCCTAATGTTTCGCCGTGGGGGGGAGAGTCCCGTTGTAACTGGAGGCTCAAAACACCAAGCGCAGCTTGAGCAAACACCTCGCCCTGGATATGTCTAGGATGGAAGAGGGCATCTTTCCACTTGTCGATGAAGCCAGTCTCAACATCTCCTTCGATAAAGGCTGGAGTTTGACATAATCTCTTCAGAAATTCAACATTTGTGCTCACGCCAACGATCTCGTACGCTCGCAAGACGGACTCCATCTTGGCAATTGCCCGCTCGCGAGTCTCCCCACGCACAATCAACTTGGCGATCATACCATCATAAGCTTCTGAGATGGTGCTGCCAGATCTGAAACCCCAATCCAGACGAACGTCGGGGTCAGAGTCGAAGGCCGATGGAAGATATGCATGTACCAATTTCCCTGAATCGGGCAGGAATCCCTTCTCAGGATTCTCTGCATAGATGCGGGCTTCGATGGCGGCTCCTCTCTGCCTCATGTTTTCTTCAACTTCTGCCTGGGTCAAGGGAAGCTTCTCCCCTGCAGCGACGCGGAATTGCCACTCGACGAGGTCAAGCCCGGTAACCATTTCCGTCACTGGATGCTCCACCTGAAGACGAGTGTTCATCTCCATGAAGTAGAACTTCCCGGTATCCTTGTCCAGAATAAACTCAACAGTGCCAGCACCGACATAGCCCACGGCAGAAGCAGCCTTCCTCGCCTTGTCCCAGAGATCCTGTCGGGTTGCCTCATCGAGGTCAGGAGCTGGCGACTCCTCCAGTATCTTCTGGTGTCTTCTCTGCACACTGCAGTCTCGTTCGCCGAGAGCAAGTGTGTTCCCCCATTTATCGGCGAAGACCTGGACCTCGACATGTCTGGGCCGCACAATGTACTTCTCCACGAGCATGACTTCTCCACCCTCACCAAATGAAGCCCGAGCCTCGGCTCTGGCGCTCTTCAGCTGTGTCAAGAATTCGTCCTCGGCCATGACTATCCTCATCCCCTTGCCGCCGCCGCCTCTGACGCTCTTCAGGAGTACGGGGAACGTGACCTCCTTGGCCCTCGCAAGGAGCTCGGCCTCGCCTTGCTCTGCGCCGTGGTACCCGGGCACGCAGGGGACATTGGCAGCAGTCATGATCTCCTTACTCCTCGCCTTGTGCCCCATGTCCGCCATCGCCGTGGCCGGCGGGCCGACGAACACAATACCCTCGCGCTCGCACTTCTCGGCGAATTGGGAGTTCTCGGACAAGAAGCCGTAGCCAGGGTGGAGGGCCTGGATTCCATTCTTCTTGGCCAGGGCTATGATCTTGTCGCCGTCAAGGTATGCATTGGAGGGGCCCAGCGCCAGGGACTGGAAGCCGACGGAGCTGTGCCATGACGCAGCATCCACATCAGTGTAGACGGTTGTGGCCCGGATGCCCATACGCTCTGCCGTCTTGTTGATACGGATGGCGATCTCGCCGCGGTTGGCGATGAGGACTGAATTGATCGGCGTGTGCTTCGGTGCCACCGTGCCGGCTGCGGTGGAGGAAACATAGCGAGGGAGAGGCCGCAAGGGCAGCCTCTTTGTGCGGAGAGAACGCATTGCTGCTGGGTATCTCTATGTGGAGGTTCGCGATCAGTGGGCAAGGACAATTGCAATCATTCCACTTGTAATTTCTGCGTTGGGCAGTAGGATACGGAGGAGCCTAGCAGCAGAGAACAGAGAGTCTAAAAAGGAGATGCAGGTTCGGCGTTCCCTTTTGTCTACATGCCCTTCGGTTTATGGTTTGCCCAGGTGACCGTCGCCGTGGAGAGCCGAGGCCGAGAGTAACCGTAAACCGCACATTCCCCAGATTCAGCGGCAGCCTCCCCCAAATCCTAGTGAGATAGGCTGATAAGCTAGAGCTGGACCCCGCCTTACTCAGCAGGTCAGTCCAGGCCTCCCCCACCACCAAAGCTCGGGCTAGATCTGGGTGATGAAGTAATCCATGACTCCGGGTCAAACTTCAGTTCCATCACAACATCACATCATGAATTCCATGGACAAAATTCCTTTAAATTACGAGGCCTCAGAAGGTGACACCCACAAGAAGCTCACCACCAGCTTGCCTCAAGAGGTGGTCCAATGTCTCGAAAATGCCCGCTTCGTGAGTCTGCGAGAATCCGACCCCTGCGTCATGGATGGTTGCACGACCGAGTGGCTGTCTCTAACCCGCGCCCGCGCAGCTGCATCTTGCGACATGCTCCGATAACGTGCCCAATGTCTCTCTGATGAACTACACATATCTGCCCTCGTCGCCCTACAACTCCTCCCCCGTCATCATCATGACCACCAACCCGGCCTCCCGAAAGACGACCAGCATTCTCTCCAACCCCAACGTGTCCCTCCTTGTCCACGACTGTACGTCCACCCACGGTCCTCCGATTCTCACTTCGGGAGCAAGCCATTGAAGCTAATTGGATCTGGTTTTCCAGGGGTCTCCCACCGACCACCAAGCCACACCCGCCGCCCATCAGGCGGCTCCCCCACGCGCGAGCCACCCTCCAGCCTGGCCTCGCTCCTCCTCAACCTCAACTCCTCGGAGATCTCGAGCATCAGCGCCACGATCGGTGGCGCCGCGCGGATAGTACAGACCGGCTCGGAAGAGGAGAAGTACTTTTGCGATCAGCACCTGGCGAACCACACGTACGACGACGAGGACAACCAGCTGTTCCGGCAGCGAAGCAACCCAGGCTCGGATAGCCGGACGGGTCAGTTTGTGGCAGGCCGAGAGGTGAGCGTCATTGCGGTGGAGATCAAGGATGTGAGGATTAGTGATTACAAGGGTGCCGTCCGAGACTGGGCCATTGTCCCCGAGGAAAGTCTCGTCAACGGCTCAACGTAGTCTGCTGTAGGTAACAGGATATTGAACAATCTCAATATCAAACTCTATTAATTCATAATAGACGCACAAAAAATAGGGTTCTTCACAATACGTCGAGCTCACCAAATGATATAGCTGTGAGATAAGACCGTGCAAGCACTACTAGCAACATTATCCAGAGGGCGGGGTTCATGAGATTCCAAAGAAAGCCATTGGCCTTGCTGCCGGCCATCTTGAATATGGAAAACGCCAGTTGAACTCACTTGGGGGAGCTAGTATATATAAACCCGAGGATCTTCAAACTATCGTAGCCTTCGTTGAGACTTTCTGTTGTCAAGGCTGGCCGTAACTATTCTTCCCATTCGGAAAGCTTTTCATATTCGCTACCATACCCTTCCGAATCGACACTATTCCCACAGTTGAGCGCCTCGGTGATGCCGTCATTGTACCCAGCGTTCTTCAAAGCGTGTGATGGCCGAACTGCTAGATAATAAGTAACCAGAGGAAACCTTGTGTGGAAAAAATGATCATTGCCATCGTTAAGGATTTTGCCCCAATTACAAACCCGCGTATTCCTTGAGAGCGAATTGACCGGGGATATCAGGAGCCGGTTAGAGAGAACAAAGACGGAAATTGTGTTACGGAGTTGGACGCCTGCGGAGGAAGCCCGAACATCCTAGCAATTACTCCAGCGACCAGCCATGATATTAAAGTCTACGAAATGAAAACTATGGCAATGATGGAATGATGGAATGACCAACAAGCCTTTCAAGGTTCATTTAAGCCCTAGGTTCCCCAAAGGTTGTTGGAAGTGAAAATGGTGGTTCAAGAAAGCAGCGCCTCACGAGGGAAACGCATGTACTACCTAAGACATGGTGTAAATGCTATGAAATTGAGGATTGATAGAAATAGCTGCTTGTCGGTAATGAAAGAGTCGAATTGGGCTATAACATAGCCCGGAGGACTCATACACACTACCTACGGGACAACGCATAGCATAATGTGATAGGCTTGTCGGCGATGGATATGGCGGCTCACGATCCCGGGGCATCATGATATGAAGGTTCTAATTGTGTTCGTAGTCGTACGCGTAGTTGTACACTGGTGGTTCAAAATTATTCTCATCGTCGTAGACGGTAAGCCGGCGGTCCCGGGGCAGCAGCGCCGCAAGAGATTCGTAGATGAACATATAGCCAGAGTTTCAGACGCTGAATATGGCGCAAGGATGCGTTTGTGCCTCAGGGTTGCCATATTAATCTACGGAGCAAAAGTATTAGCCACAAGCCGAGATGGTGTCCAATACCTCAAACCAACAACCTAATGAAACAGTATAAAAATGAATCAGCAGCAGACATGTAGTTATATAATTTTTCTATTCTTATACAAAGTATCATAACAGGCTGCCATATTAGATTCCGCCATCCAAAGGAGTCTCAGCTCCCTGGTCACGGACACCCTGCACAATGTCGCCTAAGGTAATTAAAGGATGCAGTTACTTACACAAAGTCCAATGCGATATTAGAACTTCAAGGAGTAGAATCTATGGGTATTTTAGTGTCGCTGATTGATGTCTCGTCTTTTACTGCCTAATGTGTATGCACTATCACAATACCGTAAAAGAGCTCGACAAATTGATCGTCAAGGAAGACAACCGGTAGTTGCGGTTGGTTAGTAGCCAAAAATGGAATTCAACATTCGCATGTTACAAGATAATGTATTGAGCCCAGCTCACCCACCTTGAACAATCACTTAGTTGCAAAAATAACCAGCGGTGAGAGTGGAAGTAGTCAGAGCCGGGGCATTTTCTAATCTCATCAGTTTGTAGTGATGTAGTGCATCTTGCACCAATGCAAACTACTACGCCATCTTACGCCTCACTCCAGCTTTCTTCAAATTCCCTGTATGTCCCCTGTATGTCTGAGGGAATATCCCATGCTCAACAAATCCGGATACTTACTAGAAATTCAGGATATCTACTTTCTTCCATGTGTAATTTCTACTACTTCAGCTAAAAAACACACGGTGGGTTGGTTCGCAAGCCAGATCGTAAACCCCTGTCAGGCCGCGCTGCTATTTACCCACTCGCCGTGATCCATTTCGTACAAGACCATCACCTCTCCAATCACTACTGGTCAATTGTCCCAATCCATGAGGTCATTCGCTCACCATGCATCGTACCCGGTCCCACCGCTCTCTTCTCAGGCTAATGACATAATTTCATATCCTTCCTTAGAGGCAAACCTATGACATATTCTGTTGCTCCTGTCAAGGGTTGAAGAGCCACCGATATGACGAAAAGTCGCTGCCACATGTTCAGCACTCTCTTCGTGTAATTTGTCGCTAATAATAAAGCAATCAGGTGATATTTGCATAATTTGGACAGAGACTGAAAAATGAGCAGGTAAATGTGCCGAGGACAGTGCCAAGAAATAGGTACCCTACACTTCAAGGACAGGAACAGGCGAACAGCCTATCCTACATCAGACGAATGGAGTGGATCAGAGCAAATTCGTGAATAAGGGTCTTCTATTCCTTGGCCTTGTTTTGTGTGTGAAAATTATTTGAGAACAAAAAATCAGGGTCCCTCCATAGCCATAGGGAGATATCAAACTGGAAGAGCAACTGAGCAATTGTTGCAAGGGCATCGCTTATCAAGAGGAGAATCCTTCAGATATACAAGACCTTAAGCCAATGAAGAGACGGGTATTTATTTATAGATGGCTCGAGCGGGAAAGCTGTCATAAATTCTCAACACCAAGATTATCTGCTCATGATGTGATCATCTCACCAGGGATCTCAGGTACCTAGGTACTGCCAAGGGCCTTACGAGGCACACTTGGAAGCCTCGACGAAGGTAGGTACCTGATTGTGTCCTCAGTTGACGGATAGGTACTTTGAGTTTCAAGCCTATCACTCACTTTTATGTATTTGGATATATTCAAGCAGTTACTCACTCTCTTTGCAAAGGAATATCTATAGTACTACCTAACTAAGTAGGCCTAACCTGCCTAATTCTTAGGCATGCCGGGCCTGAATTTATGCAGATGGGTCACCTTACCCAAGTATTTCACTTTGGGCGCTGTTTCCCGCTCGCGCCGATTGCTTTTGGCCACTGCCTCATGATATGTCGGTGCATAGGGCTGGCTGGGGAACGCGTATGTAGGACTCACGATGAAGTCCTGGAGGATCGAACCTGATGTAGCAAGGGTAAGAAGTTAGGTAAGTCGGTACTTGGAACCTGAACTGATGACGTTGTGCTCAGCCCCTCACCAAGCCTGGCCCTGATTAACTGACCCTCTTCCCCTCGCTAGGGACATTCTCGACCCCGCACCGCCTAAAAATCAATCAAGGAATGAAGCCGTGCCTGCCAATGTCCGTTGTTTGCAACACCAGAACTTAGAAGAGCTGCTAAGATAGCCCGGCTTGTTAGTGGTAGGTAGTCGGTACTTACCAAGGTAGCACTTGCAGCTGGACCTCTTGCACTTTGAGGGCCCCAGGCAGGTACCCAAGTACCGCTTCCCTGGTCAGCCGCCACCTTCCAATCAGGCCGTTCTGGTGCTAGCTGCCCGATTTTCCCTGTTCTGTGGGACGGCAGTGACCTGCACGTCCCTCCATTAAATATCATCTCCAGCAACGGCAACGCCGCGAGGTGTGTCACTGGCTGCTCGATGAATTGCATCTAGCACTTGACTTGACTTGACTTGCGCACTTCTGATCCTGTCTTTCGCGCCGAAGATCA